TGCATTTCCAGGTTTCGAGAAAAAGGGCCAAATAGACAATTAACATGTTATTTGAGCAAAATGTGATTATGTCATAAATATAAAGTATTACCTTTAATATTACTATTTTTGTAGTTTCAGTTCAATATTTCAACTCTAAACCCCAAAAAGTAGTAATTTTTTGAAGGCCATTCTACGAGAAACGTATATAAATTCACCAACTTTCAAACCGCCATATAACCTACACAAAATTCAGGCCCCCAACTAGATAAATGATAATTATCGGATAATATTACGTTTATTAGTACTCGTATGCTATGTATGTGATTTCAGAACAAACAAACAGTACCGGTATAGTTATAAAATAGTAGAAAGGTTAGACCTACTGATAACATTTCGGTTCTTTGTAGTGAAGTAAATCTAAAACGTATTTATGAAGTCATTCAAAATCGTGTAAAAAAATAGTTGAACAAACTTTAAAGTATGTATGTTCCGAAAGTATTTGTAGTGCCTCGTACTGTGGTACAAAGCACATACCGTACTCGCGCGAATAAGCGCCCCGTTTTAATAAGCGCCCCTCATAAGATTTTCTTTTTAGCAAGTCAATAATCCAATCAATACTGGGACTGTGGTTGTTGGTATGATTTGAGCTGTAGAGTGGAAACACATTCTTCTTCAGTCAATATCAAAATGAGGATATTTCTCTTGCACATTCCCATCTAGTTTTAAAGAAAAAATACAATGATCCTGCCATCCTGCTAATCTCAATCGTCCGATGGCCAACAAGCTAACCACCAGCATCTGCTATTTTGCTGTTATGTAAATATTCACGCATTCTTGTAAGAGCCATTTTCTCTGGACGATTATATTTTCTAACCACCATGCGTGATGTCCTTATATAATCGTTTTTCATTCAAAAAGTGCCTCTTGAATTTAAAAATTTTCCATAAGAACCCCTCGATTTTCATCTATTTCCATAAGCGCCCCTCAATTTCCATTCTGTTTTCATAAGCGCCTCGTTTAAATAAGCGCCCTGTTTGAATAAGCGCCCCTCAGAAAGTGCAAAAAAATATTTTAAGCGCCCGGGCGCTTATTCGCGCGAGTACGGTACGTAAATGTATACCTAAATGAAGGCTATTTCCTTCATTTAGGTATACGTAAATGTATACCTAAATGAAGGAAATAGATTTGAATTATTTCAAAGAATACTAAACTGTTTCATGAGCTGTTGGAAAAGATTTGGAAAACATGGAGGTATAAAAATAGAAAACAATCCTCTTGCCCTCTGGCAGTAAAGCGGATCAGAGATGATGTAGATTGCGGTTGAGTACATGTTAAGAGACTAGTTGTGGTTATTGAAACTTTCAAAAATATTGACGCCAACAGAATAATCATCTGCACTATTTTCAGCGATGTGAAACTAAAACGTATTGATGAAGTATATTTACACAACGTCATTCAAATCATGTACAAAACAGCTTTAGAGAACCAAACAATAACTAAACGTGCGTGTCGACATTACAATTGCTTTAGAAATATATCTTCAAAAGTAATTTTCTAGAGCATAGCACCATGGCACGGACTATCTGTTTTACTAAATATTGTTCCTTTTGTCTGTCATATTTTTGACTTCTTGTGGAGGGGCATCATGAGCGTTTTCTTTAAACGGATACCGGCGCTTTAAAAGTTTTCATTATTATTATTATTATTATTAAATGAAGAAAATAACCTTGAAGTAATTCAAAAGATACGAAGCGGTTCATGCCTTGTTTTGAAAAAAAAAATATCTTGCAGTGAGGTAATGCATGATGTTATATATTTGCCAAATTTAATACAGAAGATTCACAAACGTTTTCGGCCATAGGCCTTCATCAGGTGTACAGCATATAAAAAGGAAAAACAATATATACAAATATAACGGACGTAAGACAAAGCAACATATGACGTGAAGCAACGCTGTAACAGAAAAAAGAACAATAGCCTTAAGGGCGTATGCCAAGCTACAAGCTTGATAGCAGTCAAGATAAAAGCGCGGGAAAAATATACTACGGTAAAAATCATATACATATATATAAACTATATATAAGAAGAAATAATATATAGGCCTATATGAATATAAAAATGAAAACCAAAAGAAAAAAATAAACAGTATGTAAATAAAATTTTAAAAAATTAAAAGAGCTGATCAAATAAAAGCAACAATAATCAAACACATGATCCAAAATCCAAATCCAAACAAATAGAAATTAAATCTTAAAAGCATTGAAAGATAGATTAAGACCAGAGGGAGCAATAGTGCCTAATTTAAAAATCAATTTTTGCTCCAAGTTTTTTCTAATAGAGTCGGATCATTGACAGAGAGAAGCACCAGTGATCTTGATATCTTCTTTACTGTGGTTATGACTAAAATGCGACGCAATAGGTAAACCAGCTTGCCGGAGACGGATGGATCTAAGATGTTCAGTAAAACTATCTGCCATTCTCCTTTTGGTTTCGCCGATGTATACAAGATTACATTTAATACAGATAATAGCGTATATGAGATTGATGGAAGTGCATGAGAAAGTGTCCTTGATAGCATGAGTGCCGGATGGTCGTTTAAGAATATTGGTGGAGATGTGTGCGCAAGTATTACAACGAGGCCTATGACATGAAACAGTCGATCCTGAACGATCATCTGTAGACCTGAGGGATGAGCTGACGAGACTATTTCTCAAACTTCTATCTTTTCTATATGAACGAAGAGGAGGAGATTGGAAGATCGCACTGGTGGTTTCATCTGATAAAAGTATATCGAAATTTATTCTTTAAAATGGTGAAGATTTTGGTAGTCGTAGGATGGTAAGTCAGGATGATTGGTATTCGATCAGCGTCAACATGCGTACGAGGTTGTAGAGCTTCATCTTGAGTCATGTGCGCAATACGTTTTAAAGAATTATCAGTTATGTGAGTAGGATATCCTCTATCCTTGAAAAATGAGATCATTTCAGTAGCTCGTCGTTGAAAATCATCATGATCAGTACATATGCGTTTAAGACGAAGGAGCTGAGAGTAAGGAATAGCATCCTTACACGATGGTGGATGAGAGGATTTATAATTCAGGAACGTATGTGCATCAGTAGATTTGTAGAACACACTGGTCGAGAGGCGATTATCAGAAATAGAGAGTTCAATGTCGAGAAAAGTAACATGTGTGGACGAGATAGCATAGGTAAACTTGATGGCTGGATGAAAGTTCGAAACATAATCAATAAAATCATTCAGTTCATCAAGTGAGCACGAGGTAGCTCCAACAACATCGTCGATATACCTTTTAAAAAGATGAGGTGTAGCTCCAGAGTATCGAGCGAATATCTGTTCTTCTAAATAGCCCATGAACAAGCAAGCAAAACTAGGCCCCATGCGAGTTCCCATACTAACGCCAGAGATTTGTCGGTAATAGTTGCCATTAAATGAAAAAGATGCAGTCTTAAGAACTAACTCGGCAAGTCGGATGAGGCAAGATGTAGAACAGTTAGATGGATTATCTTTCTCTAAGAAATGTTTAAGAGCATTTAAACCGTCGTCAATAGGTATAGATGTGTATAAAGAGCGAACGTCCATAGTAAATACATACTTGTGATCACCAGTAAAATAAAATTGGTTGAAAATACGGATGGCTTCACTGCTGTCCTTGATATACGTAGGCAATGTTTGAACAATCGGCGTGAATATAGAGTCCAGAAATTGACTGATAACAACAGTAGGGCAATTGCAGGTAGAAACAATAGGGCGACCAGGTGAATTCTCCTTGTGAATCTTGGGCAACATGTAGAATTTGGAGCAAGTAAGAGCCTTGTTGACGAGAACCTTAGCGCTAGACGGTAGATCATTATCCTTGATCATATTGTGAATAGTATTAGTACCAGGTTAAGTTCATCCGACGTAGGATCATCAGGTAGTGGCAAATAAGTGTCACGATCAGAGAGTTGACGCTGTCCTTCTAGGATGTAAAAATCACGGCGCTAGACCACAGTAGCACCTCCTTTATCTGCCGGTTTAATCACACAATTGCGATTATTACGAATGTTGATTAAAGCTTTCCTTTCACCAGTAGAAAGAGTAGACACTTTGGCACGTCGTTTAAGGTCCAATTGTGAAATGTCGTGGCGACATTTATCAATATAAAAGTCAAGAGCTCTAAATTTACCTGCTGGAGGAGTCCCAACAAAGGCGTGGTTGAAGCTTAGAGAACTCGTCAGTATCCGTTGAGGTAGAAGTCGATTGTCTGTGAAAATGGGCTTTTAGACGCAGTCTACGGTAGAATTGTTCCAAATCACGTCTAGCTTGAAATTCATCAACAAACGGACACTGGGGAACAAATGATAGTCCTTTAGAGAGAACTGATCGTTCATCTTCGGTTAGTGATGGATCAGATGGAATACTCACAACCAGCTTAGAAGTATTAGTGTCAGTAAATACAGGTTTAGCACGAGCAGATTCGGACTTAAGTCTGTTGAGCTTAGATCG